TACTGAATATACTGAATACTGAATATATATATATATATATATATATATATATAAAAATAATTATTTTGCACTAACCTGGATACTTTTTTGCTAATGTGAGATATTTTGTAAGCGTTCAGTTCTCTTTTAAGAAATAGAAATGAAAATAATTTACCATACCAATTGCCAAGTACAGCAGCACTAAATAGTTAAACATTTTTTCCCCCTGCCTCTACTTTGTTCTATCCACAGATAATCAAGCTGTGATTACCATCACAACATAGAGACCATGGCAGCAGCTTCAATCACGCTCAACTCAGTGTATGGACAGGCCATCTGCTTGTGAGGAAAAAGACGATAGGCGTTTGTTTTTCGACAATCTACTCGGTCACACATTAGTTATCAGCTGTGCAATCCAATAAAAAACACAAAAAGAATACTTATAGGGGAACGAAGATTACTATTAAATTGATATTTTACCCCACATTAAAAAAAGCAGAGAGAAAATTAGAGATCACAGAGTTAGTTTTTTCTTTTAACATATCAAAAGCAACTGGCTTCACAAACATTGGCATTTCAAGCTTTCTAAACAATGGGGTAATACAAGTAATAGTTTTTGACTTGTGCTTTCTTATTCAGACAAACCATGACTGTTCTGAAACACCAAGTGGTCAATTTAAACATGTCCCAAATAGCATGCTGGACACAATTCTTCCCATGCTATTTGATCATACGATGATGCGGAACGGCCAATATAAGATAGCGAATGTGAACTACAAGAATTTCAATCACAAACAAATGACTGTCATCTGGTTCTCAATATTTAAGGTCAGTTACCAGTCTAGTTTATGTGAAACATTACAAAATCCATCAAATCAAACTCTCCCAAAGACAAGTGTATTTAAAAAGGAGTGACAACATACTTGCTGGTTCACGGACTGTCATGCTCAAAACTAGGTCCAACCGTGAATGAGCCCAGGACCAACTCACCGCTCTATCAACCAATGGGCTTGCTAAACCCTGCTCAGTGCTGCAGCTTCCAAGTTTCCAAAGAGGAGGTGACCGCTGCCAGCAGACCTTAGGTAAGTTAGAACACCAGGAGAGAGCCAGGAGTAGCCTTCAAGTAATGCAGATTCCAGTATAACACAGATTTCAGACTCCATGCACAAAATTGTCCCAGCATAATCCAGGGCTGCATAACTATGTTACACCCAGCAGCTGTTAGATGACAGCTAGCAATATGACAATGTGCCAAAGTGAGGCTATCTACCATTATTACTGGTTATGCTGCTACAGGAGATTAATTTTGTATAATTAATTGTATAAAATAAATTCACTTTCTTATTTATATATATATATATATATATATATATATATATATATAAAATCATAAGAATAAGAAAGTGAACATCAAGCTTTTTTTTTAGAGAGAGGTACCACACCTATAGGAACTACCACAAGACAACGGGCCAGACAAGATCAAGATCTAAACGCCACATCACAAGACGAGGACAGAGAGGCGGCATATACCATTCTGAGAGGGAGACCACCACGGCGGAGGTGATTCCAGTCTTCAATCTGTCTACAAGTAAACTTAGCAACGCTGAGAACCATTTGCTAATGAAAGGGCTATCTTTTGTGCCTACAACGTATCCGGTCCCTCTTGTTCAAGAAACTGAAAACTATAAATTTGGGAGAACATTAAGACTCAAGGACTTTTTTAAAACTAACATCCAAGTGAATTCCCAGATAAATCATTTTAAACCTAAAAGCACCTGGGATCCATTGCCCAACCAATCCACCATAAAAACTTTCTTGAAATCATTAAACCAAGAAACACAGTACCATCTAACTCATAGCAATAAACAAAGATCTAATATTACAAAACAAGAACGCCAAATCATCACCTCACTTGCTAAGGACTCGAACCTGGTAATACGTCCGGCAGACAAAGGTGGGGGAATTGTCCTGATGAACTATTGTGACTACAGACAAGAAATCCTCACACAACTAGAAGACTCTACTACCTATCAGATACTTCCAGCTGACCCTACACAGACAATTATGCTCAAGATTCAACAAACATTACAACGTGGATTAGAAGCGGACTATATTACACAGGACTTGTATGAGTATCTTTTACAAAAGAAACCCAGAACGCCAGTGATTTATACACTGCCCAAGATACACAAACATCCTACCTCACCTCCAGGCAGACCTATAGTTTCAGCAATAGGTGGGATATTGGAACCTATAGCCAAATGGCTAGATTCCTTATTTAAGAAACCAGTTGAGGAATTAAAAACATGCATCAAAGATACGCCAAGTCTACTAGCACAACTACAACAATTCACCAACTTAGAAGTAGGAGTAACATTCATCACATGCGATGTCAAAAACATATACAATTATACCTCATAAGACTGGTATTGATGCAATGAGGCAAATATTGACATCATCACCCTCCTATACGGGACCACCAGTAGAATAAATCTTGGAGTTACTATACTTGGTACTTAACCAAAACTACTTCAGGTTTGAGAACACATGGTACCAGCAAATCGCTGGAACATCAATGGGAGCAGCAATGGCACCAATGTACGCCAACAGTTTTATGTACATATTTGAGCAGGAGCACATCCTTACACCGTTCCAAGACAATATACTCTTTTACCGTCGTTTTATCGATGATGATATAATGATTTGGAGGAAAGAAGGACCAACACCAGAAGAAATGCTAGAATCCATCAACAGCTTGAACACACCGGTTCGGCTCACCATGACCACTAATGATCAAACCATAGACTTTCTCGACGTACGACTCTATAAAGAACAGGATAAAATAGCCTATACCTTGTACAGTAAGCCTACAGATAGGAATACTATCCTACATGCAGACAGCTATCATCCGAGGCACTTAAAAAACTCTTTACCACAATCCCAGTTCATGAGAGTCATTAGGAACAATTCCAACAAAGTAAATACTCAATTACAGATTAACCAAATGTGGGATAAGTTCCTGGCCCGTGGATACAGTTCCACTATCTTGCAGAAAGCCTTGAATAAATGCTTTGAAAAACCATTAACACAGATGCCCAAGGAGGAAAGATTGATATTTCCCGTGACGTTCACTACAATATCAGACCACATCCAAGAATCTGTTAATCAGAATTGGCGCATGATGCTCAATGACACCAGTCTACCGTGTCAGTTTAAACAACCACCGATGATGTGCTATCGGAGAGGAAAGAATTTAAGAGACCTACTGGTCAAGACCGATCCAACACATTGTTATAATCAACCCTCACCCCACTTGAATTTGGGATGTTACAGGTGTCTGGGATGTGTAACATGCAGTCATATGCTACCAAGCAAGACGTTTACCCATCCACACACTGGTAAGACGTTCACCATTAGGCACAGACTTACGTGTACCAGTGACGACGTGGTGTATAAACTGGTTTGCCGTGCGGTTTGGCATATGTGGGAAAAACGGACTTGCCACTAAGGGAACGAATGCGCAACCATTGGTCAAGTATAAGAATTGCATATAGAGACAAAGGCTTAGAACAACCTGTAGCAAAACATTTTTGGGAAAGTAACCATCCCTTACCATCTATGAAGTTCATAGCGATTGATCACATTCCACCACCAGTGAGAGGTGGAGACCGTATGAAAATCCTACTACAGAGGGAACTACATTGGATTAGGACTGTGGACACTGTGCAGCCCAAGGGTTTAAATGAAAAATATACTCTGGGTATCTTCCTGTAAGGATACACATCGACACTAGAACTATGTAGGGTTTATCCCTATAAGCTGTTGGACATTTTTTTATTTTTAATTCGAGATTGTTTTTTTGATTTACTGGATTATGGTGTTCAGTTTTTGATTATGATTTATGTACCCAGCTATATTTAGCTAGGCAATTGGACATTCGAACCTATTCAAGCTCGGGCCCCATGTGTGTCCTCTGGCTTTATGGAGACTGAAATACTCATTGTCACTGTCTTGTTATTGTAGTTATGAAACACTTTGGACAGTTATATTGTCTATTTTGTCAGTATTAGTTAGAGTCCATAATTAACTTACACAGTGGACATCAGCATATCACCCCTTGTTAATAATATCATACACATATCTCTCTATATAGGTAATGTCTTACACTTAAAGCTTCCATACATGTATACGAATATCTGACTGGCACACCCAGTCACCCTATATGCCATAGATATTACCAGCTTAAGCCCTCATAGTACTACAGAATTAATTCCCTACATATTAAGTAGTACAACATTAGCTTTGAGTTGCTCATCATCTTGTTACATTAGACATATTTAGGTAATACCTATTAGCATATTCATATGCTTTGTTTAAATTGCATATTCTATTTAAGTCCAGCAGTGCTAAACTATTTTCTTCATGTATGTTTTCAATTTATTTTTTCCCCACACCCTGGTGCCACTAAGAGCAAGCTGCTGCGTTTTGATTTGTATTATATGCTGTAACCAGTACACTATGTTGTCCTTCCTTCCCTGGAACCGATCGCATAACCACTCTGATTTGCGATCGGCTAGTCGTCATGGCAACATGTAAACAGACGCCCCCTTGCGTTCTGGCGGGTTTCCTGGGCAACCACTGGAACGCAGGGGTTACACAGCAGCAACAGCTGCTGCATACATGGAATAGGGTCAAGTTTTACCCGCGATTTTTTGGCGTCCAGGTAGCAGCTTGGGTAAGTCTCAGTTGTATCCAATATACAAGATTAAGCGTGTTATTTATATTGTAACATTTGTAATGCACTGTTATCCTGACGAAAGTCCCGACATGGGACTGAAACGTTGATCGCTTTTGGCAGTTGCTGAATAAAGCTAAGTTTATTTTTTTTCACCTTATATGAAGTCCCTGGAGTGCTTTTCATATTTTTCTATCTATTATTTGTGCCGACAAGCACCGGGCCATATATAATTCTGTACTGGAGTGCAAGCATTGGACAATATATATATATTAATATATATAAATATATACCCCCTCTTGTTTTATATATATATATATACACATATATATATACATATATATATATATACACATATATATATATATATATATATATATATATATAAAACAAGAGGGGGTATATATTTATATATATTAATATATATATATTGTCCAATGCTTGCACTCCAGTACAGAATTATATATATATTATATTATATATATATATATATATACACACACACACACATACACATACACCCCAATGCATTTTATATATATTTCTTCTTTCTTGTTGGGTGGCTAGCCTGCTGTTCATAAACATCTTCTGTGTGTCAGTTACAAACAATTAAACGCACCAGACTTACTTTTTTTTTAAGTTTATGCTTACAGTTACAGATATATAATAAAATAAAGGATGTTACAGGATGTTCAACAGCAGATGTTAATTGCTGTACTCCTGAAGGGAGAGTTAGAGTCTCCATAGTTTGAGAACAGACAGACAACAAGCCTTGTGGTCCTTTGTCCACTCTTTTATAAAGCCATGACCATAATGAAGTCACAACTTTTAAATATAACTCTGGCCATATAAGGACAAGACCCTCAATTATCACATTCCAGACTTCTCATACTAAAAAAAGCCTAGTGACTTACTGATACCATCTGTTACTTATGTCAATCCAGACACAAATATCGAATATAAATATGAACATAGAATTTATAATATTCTACGAATCCCATTGACATTGTTAAATACAAAATTTGGTTTTGTCATTTATGATGCAAATTTGGAAGCCATCTTGGTATACTTTTTTCTTCTTTTGAAAAGAACTCTTCAACAGGGCATCCATTGGCCAGCATATGTCTTCTTAGGCCTCCTCTGTTATGAGCACATGTGAAAACTAAAGAATGTAAAGAACTTGTGATGCCAATTGACATCCTGTTTGTGCTTTGCCATTTCCTGTTATTTTGTAGCTAATATGACTTGTCCCCAACTACAACAGTTGTCTAACTGCTGCTGTCTTAAAGGAACACTCCAAACCCTAAAGCACTTAAGTATGAGAAGATGCTTTAAGGGTTAACAATGTGTCCACTGGTAGCGGGGACTGACTGTCATGCTGTGTAGACGTGTTTCTTTGGAGCTCACCCATACTCTGCTTAAATATACTATTTTTAAACTTACAAATAGTTTATTTTCAGTTTTAGGATTCATGGTTCTTGGAATCGATGAGCAGCTGTTAAAATTCGACTACTCGCCTTTTATCTGTGTCTCAGCATCTGCAGCCTTGCCGCCTCTAGAGTAAGTGGTTGATCCTCAGGCCAAAGCGGAGCTGTATGCTACAACAGTGAATCATTGAACTCCTCCTCTGGACCAGTGAGGGATATCCCCACTGTGGAAGCTGCAGCTATTATCAATAATCTCATTAACGTCCTTTTTTTTTACCATAAGACACGTACTTGCTTCTTACAAAATAGTTGTGAAACATAATATGCAACAAGCAGATATCCTGTCTAGTTACGATCAACTTTGTGAAAAGTTCTGGGCACAACTGTACTATCAAGCATCAAAGAAGCCACCGCATACTCATCAGACGGCAGAATTGGAGTCAGCAAGTCTCCGCAACGGGCATACTAGCCATCTCGTACAAGACAATTCATAAGCCGGGCCCTCCTGGGCTGTGAGCAATTAGGATACTGTCCCAAACACATTGCCCACACACGTGAAGAGTTACTTGAAGGAGACGTCCAAGCAACAGACCAATGCATGGATCCATGCTCCAGGGAATAGGACTTGAACATTATAACCAGGTCGGTGGCTCCATATCAGGCCTGGGGCTGGCGTGATGAGACACCATGACACATAGAATGTGACGGCAGATAAGAACCATTCAGCACTACTTTCATTAGTCCCTGGCCTCATTTTATAGCGAGGGTAGTCTTCTGTCTATCCCACGCATGCTTGAATTCCCTCACTGTGTTATCCTCTACCACTTCAGCTGGAAGGCTACTCCATGCGTCCACTACCCTCTCTGTAAAGTAATACTTCCTGAAATAATTTTTAAACCTTTGCCCCTCTAATTTAGAGGGACAGCTAATTGAAGTGGTCTGGGTGCTGTGCCCCTATTGCACTTAGTGCTGCAATGTTTACATTGCAGCTCTAAGTCTGCCCTCAGTGGCTGTCTACCAGCACTTCCGAAATTGAAACGGACCTTAGGTCCGTTATCTGATGCTGGACATCATCACCCACTGCATGAGGACCTCCAGCATCAGATTTTCCCACATAGGAAAGCATTAAATTAAATATGGGGAAATCTTAATGCGAGCACAGCCATTGCAGCGCATTCTCATTAGGTCTCCCCTGCCGGCTGACGTCGACGGGTGGAGCCTGACCCAGTGCAGAGAGAGATCTGAGCTGGATTCAGGAAAGTGGTTGAAGGAGTTTTAACCCCTTCAGCCCCATGGGAGGGTGGGCTTCTTAGAAAACTATGGCTGATGGTCCTGGCACTAAAGGATCCCTTTAAGACTATGTCCTCTTGTGGTAGTTTTCCTTCTTAATATAGTTATTTAGACACCAGTATTGTAACCCTGCAACCCTGGCTCTTGTGCAACCCTCCCAACCTTACCCTGTGTGGGAACAGTGTGACTGCATGCTATAGAGAAATGTAACGCTTCATACTCTAGCCTACTTTCATAGATGATAAAATTAGAGCAGGGCGGCCTCCATTTGGATAATAAATAGGGCATTTAATACAATGAGCCAGAATACCTTTTTTTATTTTGTTTTGTTTATTCATGGCATAGTACTTGTCTTACATTACTATTATACTTGCGTTTTACTTATACATTAGATTATTAATCACCCTGTGCACTAAAGGATAGTTTTATTATTATCGATTATTCAACTGCACACGTAGTTCCATCTTATATTCATGTTATCGTATGTACTATAACACAATGTTATTTTATTTAAAAAGAAAATTTGATATGTCACCAATATGATAGTGTATGCAACTGTGTTTCTCAATATCAATTGATGGACAGCCCCTCCTCCCACCTTTACCCCGACGCCCTCCCCCCAAAAAAACTAACTTCTGTCCCCTTTTAAACACTTCATAAAAGTGCTAATTTCATGGCAAATTCACACATTTTTAAAATATCTGGGTTGCATGAACTGGGAGCCTCTTTCTGACAGCTTTGTGTTCCAGCAATGGATTTACTAAAATATCTTTCAGAATTGCTGCAGGCACAATGCTGTGATTGAATCCAGGTGCCTGGAAGATCATCTATTCTGAAAGCGGAGCGGAACTGTACCTGGTCATACTTGGCGGGAGTGCAGTCTCACTGGCTGATAATGACTGTTTAATAGCTTATTGGGCATGTCCAACTTTGCTCCTGTGCAAAATTAGTCCAATCTAAAACCTAATGTTTAAGCCAGACAAACAACAGCAAGAGAAATACCTGAAAGGTTAAACGTGAACTTCACAGAGTACTTAAATTATATTTTAAAAAGTAATTGTATAGTTTAAAAAACAGATTGGGAATGCACTATGGCTAGGCTAATCACGTTTCTCATAAACCCAACATGGCAGCAGCACTTGCAACACTATCAACTACTGCTCATAAACCTAACAGTAAACATACATGTTTAGTAGGATTATTTCACCTTGCTAACAAAACGTAAATTTCCTTTGACTAAAAAAATACAAAAAATTAAAATTAAATGAAATATGGCATCATAAAACAATATTGACGGTGCTAATTTCCAAAAATATAAAAGATATATTTTATTTAAAAGATATTAATGCATGTCATGAATTATATATGACCTATATTATGGTATAAACGCAACCTAGCCCTGAACAAACCACACTTCTATGATGTTACTTAAATCTGCTTGAAATATTCAGGCATTTATGGTCAATTTAGATAAGAGTTAGCAATACCACGCTCAAAGCAAATATTGTCACGGACGAAACTTACCTGTCCCGGAAGCCTGCAGCGTCCTGGAGGCAGCTCACAAAGGGTTTGGACGCCTACTCCTTCCTTTGTCCCTCCTCATTCCGATGTCCACCACTCTCCGTGGCAAGATGGCAGCTGTGTGGATGTCCACTTAGCATTCAGGGACGATTATGGGAAGGAGGGATTAGAAAGAGAGGGGAGGGACTAAGGAATAAACAATATAGCACCCAGTCCCATCCCCTCCTCTGTAGTCTTAGGGGGCTCTGTCTGCAGGGGGTAGGTACTGTTCACATGACCTCTTCTACCTATAAATGGTCAAGGCATCCTGATCCTGGCTCTTGATTCCCATGTAAAACTTCTCAACTTGTGACCTTTGGCTTTGACCCTGACCGCCTTCACTTCTTTGACCTTTGGCACCCTGCTTGTCTATTTCCTGGCTTGTAACCTTTAACTTTACTACCTCACTCCTTTGCTGCCAGCCCTGACCATCGGACTGCCTAACACCGCTTCCTGTCTGCTCTTTTCTCGCTTTATCTGTAAATAAAGGCACCCGGCCCTCAAAGATCTCCCAGGTTTCCGTATCTCTCTCAGGCACCTTGGTAGGTCATGTCTGCAAGGGGGTTGTTGTTCCTCTCCAAGCAAAGCAAATTGTAGGTTGTCACAAGCATTTATAATTAAAGTTATATTCAAATTAAACTTTTTCCCCCCAGAATTTTACATATAACCTAGATTTTAGTAACAAACACTAAAATACTATCAGATTTACTTTTAACAAAAATTTCAAAGATCTATAAAGTGTGGAAAAATATAATAATGATTTGAGTCTTAAAAATCCAGACACACAATCTTTGGCATCCTCAACACAATGCAGCACTAACCTGTAGTTTTCAGTTATTTGTCATAGTTTGCCAAGGGTCAGCACACATTTTCTCGTCTTGTAGCAATGGGGTTAAAAGAGGGAATAGGACCACATTTTACAGCATGAAAATGCCTCCCCCTTCACAGGAACGCCATCTCCATGTGTGTACAAGTCATTTTATCAGCAGAAATTAAAAACATCTGTAACCCAGGCTGCATGGGAAAAACAGGCTGGATTGATTGTCAATGCGCACGCTATACTACATGTCAGCACACTTATGGCAAGAGTATGAAATGCACACGCATTTTCTTTTCATGCAGCAAAAAT